CTCTCTCTCTCTCTCTCTCTCTCTCTCTCTCTCTCTCTCTCTCTCTCTCTCTCTCTCTCTCTCTCTCTCTCTGTGTGCACTTCTTTGCGAGGGAAAAACCAAGGTCGATGTTGCCTGCTTAGCTCCTGCAGCAGCTTCCCCTTCAACGGCGACGTGAGACTGTAAATGTGGGTAATGGGTTCCGCTCCATCACTCACGATTCTACTTTCTCTGAAGTGCTGGGCCGCTCCACTACGGTGACTACGCTCGTCGGCACTTTCAATATTTGATCCAGAGTTGTCCGAAAATTTATCGGGACTCCTCCGCAACCCGCGCCTCATGTCATGTCCAATACAGCGGATGGCCGGTGCAGCACGAGGGGAACTCAATGGCGAGCCATAGCGGGGCACTAGTTGGCAAATGCCAAAAGTCACTGCCCGCCCATTCTGCTAGAGGGGCCGCACTGCTGCCGCAGCGGATGGGCAAAAAGTAATTTAATCCAGTCGCCGTTCAGGCCCCATGGCGGGCTAAACCGCACAAGCAAAAGGAGAAGTAAACACAGGCTAGATTTTGCAGCTACTGCAGTGCGAGCTGGGGCAAGCTTCCAACAGCAGGCGGGAGGCGGTAAGCTATACTAGTTTGCGTGTTGAGCACATGTATGATGCTGCACGACCGTTGGCCTTGGCCAATCTTTTATCTTTTGGGCCTAGTTGCACTACTCTCCATATGCCAAGTTTGAGTTTGGAGAGTAGGTGCCTGGTTGCAGTTACTCGCCAAACTTGGCGAATGCGAAATGTGTCAGACGGCTCCCCACACTGTAGACACAGTCACACAGTGCCTCGCTGGACGGTGCAAAAAACGAAACGAAACGACCTTGAAACTCACGAGGCCTCGCGAGGCCGAAAATCACCATTTCGTTTCGTTTGTTAGACCACCGCCGCAGAGCACACGGGAATCACTCGCAGAAACGGCCTGACGAGTGTTGAGGTGCCTGACTTCCGCAAATGCCCATTTTTTTTGGACCGACATCCCTTGGACCAACGTGCTGCATCCCTTGGACAGACGTGCTGCACTCACGTGGATTCGCAGCTCCACCAGCAAACCTTTGGAGGACCTGCGCGTTCGCGCGGTTTACAGGTGGGGACGGCAGAGGCTCATGCTCACACTCACGAACTTGAACTCTGTCATCACTCGCGAGTTCTCTGACAGGATCCGCGAGGGTGCTGTGCCGTGAAACGTTCACGAAACGAAGTAGTTTTTTTTTTCGTGTAACATGCCGTCCGGCGAGCCCCTTACACTCGCGAACTTGAACTCTGTCATCACTCGCGAGTTTTCTCTGACAGGATCCGCGAGGGTGCAGTGCGGCGAAAAGTTCACGAAACGAAGTAGGTTTTTTTTTCGTGTGACGAGTCCTCCGGCGAGCCCCACAAACTGTGGAGAGTGAATTCGGTTTCCCCGCCTGTGCACGGCGGTTTGTGGAGGGTGGTCTTCGGACCTCTTCACAAAACAACTTTCTGGAGAGTGTAGGCCTTCACGAGTCGACATCAGGGGGACACTTTTTTAAAACTTTTCTGTAGATGAGATCTGGTGGAGAGTAAGTGCAACCAGGCCTCGAGTTCGACACGATTCTCATATTTTTCACTCTCCACGCATCCGCCACGAAATGTGACGAATGGCGAGTAGTGCAACTAGGCCCTTTTTTGAGGGGTTAACTAGGATGCAGTCAGGATTTCAGTTTTAAATCCTGTTCAGTCATCCCTCCGCTACAACACATCCCCACCCGGCCCTGAAACTGTGTTGTATACATTCACTATTGTCCTCGGTTTGACACAACGTTTGCGAAATCCTGACTGGAACGCATTATTTTTCCAACTGATAGTTTTCCCTTCTTTTTATGGACCCGGATATAAGCAGTCACCTCCTAGCATCCATTTGGCTGGCATCTATCAATTGGTGGGGAGCATCGCCTGCTCGAAAACGGGTCCAACTTCCCTTGCAGCTATCGCCAAACTGTACACAGACTGCACACTGTCAGGTGACGATGATGGGCAATCCGAAGTTGGCAAGACTCTTCTTTTTTCTCCTCTTTTCAAAAGGGCACGGCAGTGAGACATTATCGATGAACTGTCCTGCCCCTGGTAAATTAGAGTTATTTTGTTGTGCCCATCTGATTTCACCTGAATTCTTAGCTTGGGTTTGTAATTGGCACAATTCATGGGTGTACCATTAGAGTTATTTTGTTGTGCCCATCTGATTTCACCTGAATTCTTAGCTTGGGTTTGTAATTCGCACAGTTCATGAGTGTGCCAACTCAGGTAACGACCGTTGGTTGCTGGCACGACCTTGATGCAGTTCATTTTCTTCATTTTGCTTTGTGTCCTGGGTCATCGGTACGGTCATGGGTCACCTGTACAGTCACGTGTCACCAGTACAGTCATCAATAGACAGTAAGGAAGGGCATGCGGCCCACGTTTTCTTGAGCCATTGGACTCCCGGCGGAAGCACAGGCGCATGCCTGACTCGCTTCTGCCCATCCAAAAGAATATTCATGTGAACGAGAGTTGGTATGTTTATGGGCCTCGCCACACTACTCCCCACTTGGCCATTTTCGGGAGTGCAGCATTGGCACACCAGCTCCCGAGTTCAAACTGTAAGATTATTCGCGAGCTGTCAGAATGTGGCTCCCGAGAGCACTCCCGAACTCAATGCCTGCAATGCTGCCTTTCCGAGAGACCCCCTTCACCCCTCCGAGTTTCATCCCAGATTCGAGAGTGGAGCTGGAAGGGACAAACGACTTCTGCCAGACTGCTTCACACTGAGCGTGTCCACATGTGGCAAATGGCATTTACAGACTTGGAGAGCGGCCGGGTCGAGAGTGGAGTGTGGTGAAAGGCACTCCCGAGCAGGTTTTCAGTTCCGGGAGCACTCCCGAAAATTTTTCAAAGTCAGGAGTGGTGTGGTGAGGCCCTATATCTAGCCCCTGCTGCGTCAAGGGGGTGCCATCAGCTCTTACCACAACGTTTCTTTGTTTCGACAGATGACATAACACAGTTGCCCGAACTGCTAAGCGTTCCAAATACATATGCCTGTGTATTGTGGAGTGGCATGAGAACAGTCCCCAGTAGAATTGCACCATGATCTGACCAGAGATCTCCCCGCTCAGGTGGGGAAGGAGAGTGATTTTTCCAGAAGGTCCAAGCCGATCTCGCCTTTGGGCATGTGATCCGCAAATGGTTCTGGTCTTCAACCATTATGTCCTGACAGACAGGCTGCATAAAATTGTTGTCCCTTTTTCCGGTTGTCTATTTCGCATTGCTGCTGTGCTGTGAGCAATAAGCCATAGAAGACCAGTGTAACGGCACCAAAAACATAGAAGAAGGCTCTTTTTTGTGTGTTTTAATTTTATTAGGGGTCTTGCCCGCTGAGAGTCCTGCTGGCTCTGCCTAGGGCAAATTGCAAAAATACCGGTTTGAGAATGATTACACAAACTGGAACAAAGATTCGAAGAAGATGCCTTGAGCATTAATATCGTGGTGTACAACATCTTCCTCCCCACACTCCATAACTCGTCGTCACGGATACACCCGTACTCCGGAGTTACGGAACTCAATCCTTCCACTCAATACACCATTCAGATTGAGGCAACCTACGCGTCAATATCCACTTATAGTTAACCTACAAGTACCTCGAGCTCATCCCATACCATACTTGGCCTACTGCAGCAAAATCACAGCGGCGTTCTCCACGAGACCGGAATCCAGTCCGGTACTTACTCAAAAAAGCGGACCAATTTCCATGTGAGATGTATGAGGCCGGCCTTATCGGTCAAGTACTACCGAACCCGTTTCTGAACAACGCTGATGTCCTTAGTCGACGAGATCCCCTTTCCTTCACAGGCACCAACAATGGCAACAAATAGGTGCACGAAGTCGTATCCACGGCCCGATTCTTGTGAAAAAACTCAGTCCTCTGCGTACCGGCGCGAGGGATGGCACCTGCTTGCGGCGAGATTTCTGAGAGATCCGAAGACAATTCCTGTGGGCCAGTGTCATGTGGCTTGTCTTGTTCATCCATCTACAGTCACCTGTTTTCAGTCCCAAACCAGGTTCTCATTCCGAAGCTGCGGACCAGTGTCATGCGACTTATCTTGTCGATCAAACAATGCATTTTACGATCTCTTGTACCCGGTCCCAAAATGGGTTCTCGTTCCGACGCTGCATCCATCTCAAACCCGCCAAAATAATATCACGTTCATATTCGAGTTTCTTTAATTCGACCGCTAGTGTAAGCACTCCCAGACAGATCGTCCCTATGTCGTTACAATTTTCTGAGATCCGGAGGATGGTGTTTGCCACGGTTGCGAACTTGCTTGTTTTCCCTGTTCTTAAATTTGTGAGATACCAGTACCGTCTTATCTAGTTCGGCTACTATCATTCTTGTTTCCAGAAAATCAAGCACCCCCATTCCCATATCGGTTCGTTCCAGGCTTAGTTCCTTAGGGTAGCATTGCAATATTTTATCCAGGCAATTGTTGGCTTTTCCGTACCCACCCGGATAATTTTTCTCAAAAAATGAGAAAAGTAGCAGATCGTCGATGTATCGCTTACCTAAAATAAACTTAGCGTCCACTCCGAGTGAAGAAATAAAGTTATACTCGGAGTACATGCACATGACGCAGGCCAATGAGGGACTTGTTCTTCCTCCCATGAGTATTCCCTTCCTTTGGCGAAGGATTATATTTGAGACTAAAAACACCATATGCTTCAGTTGGAATTGAGCCAGGGTGATTAATTTTGTAAGCCGGATAGACCTCCATCCAACTTCACCATGGGCTTTGCCCATGGCAACCTCTTCCGAGTGTTAAGTCGGATCCACCGCACACCTTTCTGCAGGAGCACTTCAATTATCAATTTTACGGCCCGTTCAATTGCCTCATGGGGAAGTTGGGTAAACATTTCCTTAATATCATAGGTACGGGCTACCACACCACATTTAGATAAAGATCCTTTCCTATCATTGACCTTAGTTATCTCATGTCGAAGGTCACCCATCGTTCTGAGGTTAAAATGAGGAACTTTGGTCTTTTTAATCAATGAGTTGAGTGCTAAGGATAGGACATCAGATGCTGCACGAAAAGGGCTTAGATAAGAAGGAACAGTCGGTCTTTTTTTTTCTTTGTCCTTTTCTTTAGCCATGATATAGGCGTGTTGCAGTTCACCCCGTCCGTCCCATTGAGCGATTTTCCCAGCCCTATTTGATTGTATTCCGTGCGGATTTCCCGTAGCAACGTACCTTTCTCAGTTTCTTCCTTTTTTTAATTTCCATTCTCCAAAAACATTTTATTGAGACATTTTTCGTAACTCTTTGGGCACTCAAACCAAGTCTCGCTGGTATTACGATCCAACGGACCCATCACCAAACCAGCAAACGCTCGCTTCACCCCAAGTACGTACTCGCTCAAGACACATCCTCGCGGTACTGCTTCCCCTTTCCTTGTGACAGTTCCAAACGGTATTCGTAGCAGTCCAATTGCTATCCCGTTTTTTCAAATCATATCGAGGGCTTCATTGCAGGCCCGATATAGTCCATCTCGTGATTCAATGGTTCCGGGGAACGGGATATTTTTAGCATTGAATAGGAATGGGTTCAATCCTTCGACTTCGCTAATCTTGACCGCGACGTGCCCATTAATTTTGGGTAAGTCGAAATTTTCGCACACGCACTCAAATGTGCTGCATTGTGCGAAAAGTTTTTTATTATGCAGGATGTCTCCAACTGATTTGGCTTTCAGCYWGACAGCTTGAGCTTTCCTTGCATACAGGTCAACTAGCGGGGCCGGTTGGATATTCCCGACAATCCATTCCCGCAGACAGTAMTCCACCTTCTTCTTATCAACGCTGRTACAAAACGAAATTTTAGCAACCACTTTGGCCCGGGGGTTAATACCAAATTTCTTTTGACATACATTTGTTAAGATACCATGAACAATCTGCCTTCCAAGCGGTTGAGGGATGCTTTTTACAGCAGCGTCTAACTCCAACAGTTCAATGATGCTTAGTTTGACTAGTTCTTTACGTTTCCACGGGGCTCGGAGGAGTGCGATAACATCACCTTTTTTTATATCCGTTTTTATCTGCGTTCGGATTAGCAGAGTAATTGTTCATTCCCCTCCTCTTTCCATGGTCAGTTTGGGATCTTTCAATAGGAAGTTCTCCCCATCAATTTTTACCTTGCTATGTCCATATAGTAAAGACACCAGTCGCCACGCTTTCATCCACCGTCCACCTGCGTTATCGCTCAGTGTTATCGATTTTGTAATCTTATGTTTCGACAAACTTTTAAGAATAAGAAGCAAATCTGGTTCATTCACAATACTCACACATGGGCATGAAAACCACAGTGGTTCCAGTATTTTTACCGCTGGTACAGGATCCCGACGCCGTCTCCCATGAGAATGTCGCGGGTTCCTACGTTTCATTGTTCCACGGGCATTCAGTCCTGGGTTCAAGCTTTTTATAATGGCTTGCTCCATACATTTAATCTCATATTCATTCCCAAACCAAATTGGTATGGGAATGTAAGAGTCAACACCAGTTTTTCGTAGCCAGGAGTGAACTTTCTGTTTGCTATTACCTTTAACAGCACAACAATGTTCTACCCATCGCTCGCGAGTGTTCTAGCGGTTTTTCCCATGTACACGAGTTTATGATTAACCGACATAAATACGTACACACAACTGTGCGCATTCAACAGATTGCTTCATTCCTCGTAGGTTAGCCATAACCAAAATCGGATATACGCTTGCCCCCACCGCACATCACCCCTTAAACAGGTTAGAATAGTCAGTAGCACTTGAACATGCTCACATAAGTTCTGTAGCATAGGATCACCCCAACGTCTTGCATCAATTATTCGAGTAATTACTCGCCTAATCGATCTAATGCTACCCAGACTTAGTTTCCCTTCACTGCATCACAGTCGCCTTCAGAATCAACATAGTTCTTATCCCCCGGAGCCTCCTTCCTGCGAGATCCGCCACGTTCACCGGTTCCCAGGTCTCCTTTCAGAGAGTCGGCGTATTCCTGCAAGTCTTGCCGAGCGAGTTCCCAGACCGCGACATCCTTCTTAAAGTATTCCACATCACGTTCCTTACATAGGTCTTGCACGCGTGTGTAGTGCAGTGAGTTGTAATACTCAGCGCGGATCTTCATGTATGCTGCAAAGCCATCCTCATCAGGATCTTCTTCGTCTCCATCAACTTGGGCGTTTTGCACTATGTCTACGTCTTCCTTCGGATTGGCTTCGATTGCCGGTCCTGGATGCTCTAGTTCAATCGCCTTGCCTTTCCTCCCTTCCTCGCCAGTCCCAGGTTCAACTACCTTTGCTTTCCCTTTCGGGTCAGGTAGGCCACTGATGAGTGCGGCAAGCAACCTCTTAATTTCGGATAGCTCGCTGCTCGTGCTTTCCATCTTCGGCTGGAGATTCTGCTTCGCACCGGAGGGTCCCTCATCGTCTGACAGCTCAATGCGCTTAGGCTTAAGCTTCGAACTTCCTCTGGATCTCGGCTTAGCACGTGTGGCAGATGGGGAGTTTTCGACAGGAGTGCGAGCGACGCTTCTCTTCCGCTTCTCATTGCTAGAGAGCTCTTTATTCCCCTGTCCTCGCACTTCTCTGCGAAGACGTTCAAGCTCATCCCGCTCAGCCGCATCCAATTTCAACTTCTTATCAACGCCATCCAGCTTCGCGTTGATGAGCTTAAGGGATTCACTCAGTGTCGACGTAACCCATGCTTTCATGTCTTCGTTCGTACCGTTCCTTTCGTGTGACCGGGCTTCAGCTTGACTCCCTTAGTCGGGAAGTTCCACGATGCAGCATCCACTGGTACTGCGCTTGGCCCCTCCGTATTTCGAAGCTCCAATTTTCTTATTGGCTTCTTCAATCGCCTTGTAGGATTTGATGCCTTCCAGGATCTTCACGTACTCCTTGGTGAAGTACACCCGGTTCCCGGGGCCAGGGAAATTATTCGCAGCTGGACCTTTCCCCCCTCTGCGGGATGACGCGCTCGCCATATGCCCGCCATGGTTTTGGAAGCCTGGATGCCCCTGCTGAGTAGTCGGAGGCTGTTGTACCACTGACATTTGAACCGGTATCAGAGTTGGTGCAGGGACTGGGGGCGCGGGTAGCGAATGCCCAGTCCATGCTGCACCAGTCTGCCATGGGCCTTGTTGCTGCTGAGTTGGCATCCATGGTTGCGCACTCCATTGGTTCGGCACTTGTTGATACTGAATTGGCCCAACGGGCGGAGCAGGTGCCGCCGGAGCAGGATGTACTTGACCACCAGCATAGTAGTGAGGCGGAACGCCCAGAGGCGTCGGGCTCACGGTTGGAGCCGGAGTGGCTGAGTACGGGATGCTCGGCATCGGCTGGTTCTGCACTTTGTTGCTGCTGCTACCACCCTCCATCCAGAATCGACCGCAATTCGACCACTTGCCCTGTCGATTGCCGGCCTTCCCACCTCTACTGCGTGAGTACATGCGCCCGGCGACGAAAGAGAGGGCACACAGGCTTATTACAACTCCAACTGCTGCTTCAATCACCCGCGGGTGCTCAAGTATACTGGTCGTCTCTACCGAAGCGGACTCCTTAATTACCATCCCCAAGTGCAGGTCACGGAAACTCGCTGACTAGCAAGGCTACAACTACGACACGGAACCACTAATCTTAGGGTAGGGGAATAAAGAGAGAAGACGAAATCAACGAGGAAAACCAACGAAAACCCAATACGCCCAATAAAAAGCACTCAAACCAGTGCTTGAGGATTCAAACCAACAAAATTCTAACGAATAAATATGATAAATACTGCACCAAAACAGTGGATTAGCCACTGACAAGCTTTACTCAAGGCTCAAACCATGCAATCAATAATGGGTAAACTTCATACCGAGAGACGAAGCACAAATTATTGCACGAATCCACCGAGCGTACTCGGAGAACACGGCACCTCAGCCTCGTTCCCAAGCCACTGCAAGGTCGACACTAAGACTCTGGTCCATGAGAATGATTACACAAACTGGAACAAAGATTAGAAGAAGATGCCTTGAGCATTAATATCGTGGTGTACAACATCTTCCTCCCCACACTCCATAACTCGTCGTCACGGATACACCCATACTCCGTAGTTACAGAACTCAATCCTTCCACTCAATACACCACTCAGATTAAGGCAACCTACGCGTCAATATCCACTTATAGTTAACCTACAAGTACCTCGAACTCATCTCATACCATACTTGGCCTACTGCAGCAAAATCACAGCGGTGTTCTCCACGAGACCGGAATCCAGTCCGGTACTAACTAAAAAAAGCGGACCAATTTCGATGTGAGATGTATGAGGCCGACCTTATCGGTCAGGTACTACCGAACCCATTTCTGAACAACGCTGACGTCCTTAGTCGGCGAGATCCCTTTTCCTTCACAGGCACTAACAATGGCAACAAATAGGTGCACGAAGTCGTATCCACGGCCCGATACTTGTGCAGACCTATGGCAGAAATACCGGTTTGCAAACCTATGGTACCAACTTTACCAGTCCACACAGGTACGCTGCCAAATATACCAGTGAAGTTGGAGAAATATATTTTTTTCGGAGGTTTTTGTGGAGATTTACGGGCCGGTACCTGTTTTCGTAACAGGGGTTCCATCGGCCTGGCCTGAGGCAAGGGCTCGAAGGCCGACGGGTCCTCTGTTGCAAAACTGAGTACCGCCCTAAAGATCGAAAATCTCTCTTGCGTGTTTTTCTATGTTGATGTTCGGGGTGCCAGCTTGATTTGATTATTGCGGTACAGGGAATCTTAGGATAAGCCAAAGAAGATCCAGAAGGTTAGTGCTTAGAAACAGTGGCCTGCAAGGGCCAGCACTGCGGGAAATGGGGCATGTGGGAACCCTTGAAATCGCGTGCACGTGCTGCACGGAAATTGCAAAAATAACCTTCTTTCAAACTTACTGAATTATTCGCCGCTTCGTTGCGCAGGTTTGTGCGAGTTGTCTTCTCCGCTGCTCAAGGCAGTACTCACGCTCAAGGGGCCTCAATGATGCCGAGGGATTCACTAAATATAGCAAGTGTGCATCCTATTGTGGGCAACTTGGGAGGAGACCCGGGTGTCCCTGAGGAGCTTCAGCGCCTCTTGGTCCAAGACCCTAGGTCCCTAGGTAAGGGCCTCGAGCTTCCTCTGATCCTTTCCTTTCTGCAGTTATGTTGTAATGGGCGGGAGATTTCCCGCGATAGTCCTGTAGGATATGTGGGTCAATAGGCTCTCCTGAAACTGGACCTTTAATGATGTTCGGGGTGCCAGCTTGATTCGATTCTTGGGGTACAGCGAATCTAAGGATAAGCCATTAAAGCCGAAGAAGTTCCAGAAGGTTAGTGCTTAGAGATAGTGGCCTGCAAGGGCCAGCACTCCACCCCTTCCCAATGTCCCCACTGTCCATGCAACTTTCAAATAGTGAAACGACATTTGAATGCAAACCAAGTGGTAGCAAAATGTTGGAATGTTTTTGGAATTGTTGCAGCATTTGCTGGATTGAGCGTTTGGTGATTCAAGGAATCAACAAGGCAGCAAGTGTTGCACAACCACATATGCAAACTCAATACACATAAAGCTTGATAGGCTCGATAAAGTTGATTGCTCGTTATGGCGTGAGCAAGGCCATGGAGCAAGAGAGAGGGAGAGTTCTTCGACTTCTCCATTGTTGGCTTCAATAAAACAAGGTTGGAAGGAGTTTACAGAATTGTACTGAATTAAATATACTAGCCTTCTTAGAGAGTTGCTTATTGCCCGAGTTGAGGAAACAATCCCGCACTAAGGATCAGGAGGGTCTGGGCTTTCTTGCAGTTAGCACCTTAGAGGGTGTTGTTAGTTGTCCGAGTAATGGATTTAAAATACCAGGTCGTGAAGGGAATAACAATCCCTGCGAAACATCAAGTTGTACCGACGGTCTTACCAAAACATGGCATATAGTTGTGGCATCTTAGAGGAGCAGGCACCCCCTATGACATTAGAAAAGATGGTCATTCTTAGTGATGGTATAAGGGAGAAAATGAGGGTGGAGCGGGGATGGCGGTATGCCGAATTACTCCGGGATTTATGCATAATGACATACTTGTAGGAGAGTTGACCGCGGGGTGGCGAGGGTTTGTGGCTTCAGGAGAGTGAGATAGATAAGAACCATAAGGTGACTTTGATAGTACAACCTAATCACACCAAAACTCAGAGGCACAATCGTTCAGTCGTAATAACTCTCCGGCGCCCTAGGGGCGACAAGGATACTTTTCTATAATTATTTGAAGAACTTAAGGAGTACTACGAATGCCTAGGAGATAATTTAAGCTCAGGTCCTATCTTTAAGAGTACATAGTCAAAAAAAGGTTTGTCCTTAAATGCCTTTAACAAGTGTGTAAGAAAAACGCTCATTGAGCTTGGAATAAATAACCATGAAGCAAGCGGGGTCAGGGAAGCAATTCGACAAGGCTGGACGCTTGAACAAATGCTGGCCCAAGGGTCATGGAAGAGATTTTCCTCGTTCATTCGGTATGTCTATGGATGCAATCATCGTGGTTCATAGTGGAAGCAAAAGTTGCCTAGCTATGAGGTCAAACTTGGCCAGATTTAACACTCCTCTAGGCACTCTTTTGGTATGGATATAAGTGGAAGGACACCTATCCAAGAGGAATTCTCCCAAGCAGTCGAAGGTGGCAAGAGATGGGTACCATGCTTTCATAGTCGAGACTGGAGAAATTATGAGGTATTTCCCGCCGAATTTCTTCACGCACTTGATGACTGGGCAGAGGAGGCAAGTTGGAGGAAAAAGCCATTGATAAGTTTTTTTTGGGAGTTCTGCTCAATTACGAAAGAAAGCATCCACATTGATGCATCCTTGATTCATATTGGCAGAGATGAAGCAGCTGCAAACATGGTGAGCATCATAGGCAAAAAGGTCTATAGCCGGAATGTCAAAGGCTCTGATCTTTTTTTTTTTTTTTTTTTTTTTTTTAGGGGCAATTCCCAAATCAGTTTAGTCTTCCAACTTGGATAGTTCATCCGCCTCTGAATTAAGGTATCGGGGAACTCATACAAGCCTGATTTGTCAGTCTAGAGTCGTTAGGAGCATGACAATTTCTCTAAGCATGCGACTCAGATCTTCAACCGGTGAACTTCAACTTTTGAGGAGGGCAACGACACCAGCATTGTCTGTGACTAGCTTAATTGCACCTTCCTTGAGGGCCTCATCATTTCTTGACTTAAGAAGGTCCAAGGTTACAAGGACCTCGAAGAGTTCGCGATGAGTGTTTAATGTACCCACCATTTTGTCGGGGAGAAGGAAGTTTATTGTTCGTTTAGATTTTCCTATTGTGACAATTGCTCAAACTGCACTCTCCGATGCATCTGTTTGAATAGTAGTGGAAATCTCCCTTAGGGGGCAGTAGGTTCCCCTCAATAAGGGGAAGTTGACCTTCCACCATTCCAGATCGTGAACCACAGGTAGAGAAAGTGTGAGGCATGCATCCCATCTCGAGGGGCAGATAACCTTCTGGAGGTGAGAGCAAAAGGCTGAAGCAGGTGTTAAGACCCTTGTTAAGGCAACCAATCTTCTTGCTACCGAGGATAGTTCCTTGCTAGAAGTTGATGACTGATTTATCCTTTCATCTAGGGAAGACATGATCTTCGACGCCTTGTCCTCCGGGATGGTGATTTTCTTGCGGTGAGAGTCAATCACAAATCCAATGAATTTTACCCTTTGTGAGGGCAAAAAGGTACATTTGCAGAGGCTTA